CATAAAATGCGTAATTTTCCATTTTCCACTTGTAAATTCATTCGCAAGCTTGTCCAAAATGATCAATCGAAAGAATATATGTCGTATCTTTATTTGCAATCGCTTGTAATGTTGCTTCATATCTGTAATCGTTCATGTAATCATAATAACTTTATATTATATAGATATAAAAAAAGAATTTTTATGTAATATGGATGAGACTTAATATCAATTTTTTTTGATTCTTTTCCATCTTCTTTAGCAAAGTTAAAGATAGAAAAAAAGGAAGCGTTCTGATTGTAAGTAAATATTTGGATAGGTCTGTCTTATGTGATTATAAATGGCGGATCTGTATTTTCTGAAATTGATTGTTGAGATGTTTTTCTTAAGAAAAAATAAAATTTACATGATGATTTTATTTTACTAAATCAAATTTATTAGTAGCAATTTTGTCTAACGTTAAATAAATTTTTCATTCACACATTAAAATTGCGAATCGTAACAGGCTCAACAAGGAAACTATGTATTTTATATTTTTTACATTATGTCGACAACAATTATTAACTTTTGTATAAAATAAAATAACTATTCTCAATATATATGATAAAATTAAATTGTGTAATATCAAATACCATTTAAATTATCGTATGCCATTATGCAAGCTCACAGAATTATTAGAATTTCAATTCATTTTTTAAATAAATATATAACATATTTAATTTTTAAAATTTCTCACGAGGTAAAAGCTAGTTTTTAGTTAGATAAACTTGCACACAGTCGATAATGTAGACATGAAAACCTTGACCTTGGTGTGGATCCTATGTTTTACAATCGTGAAATGTCAAATTTTCGACTCCGCAATGCAATATCCTTAATTGATTGCTATCAATGCAATATCCTTAATTGTACATTTAGGTGTACATACTGTATTTAAACTGTTATTTGAAATAAAAATAAAAAAGTATAATGGACATATATATATTATGCCAACAAATATAACTATTATATATAAAAATAATAAATTTTTATGGAAAACTTGAAATATATTGCAAAAAACGACATGAATTGGCATCCACGTGCCGGAAATTCTTCGGCATTTAAAGGAATCCTAAAACTTGAGCTTTAGTAGTATACCGCTATCGATTTAACATTAAAAATTCATTAAAATATTTTTGGACAGTATTACTATTTTTTAATACATATTTTTTGTTTAGATAATATGTATGATAATTTTTTACGAGAAACGATTTGCGTTGAAGGTTTATGACAGTAGTTAACTTCACACACATGTAGATGCATAATATATAAAATTAAAATAAAATACATAATATAATATATTGCTGGTTTATTTACTTTTATGTCTACGATGTCTCGGCATTTAAGACTATCTGCAAAATAAATGCCTTTAAATAAAATTGGAGACTGGCATATGAAAAATTATTAGCAGAAACTGATCGTTGAAAATATAAAAATAGCTGACCTTGTTTAATACGCAATAAAAACGCGCATATATAAAAAAATATGTAAAATTACATTTTGTTAAATTATATAACAAAAGTATATACCGGAAGAAATTAATTAATATAATATCCTATTTTTCATATATATATATATATATATATATATATATATATATATATATATTGATATTATCATTAATATTCCCATAAAAATGGGAATAAGAGCATAATTTTCACTTTATATAATGATGTTGGATATTATTAACATATATTGTTATTACTTTAGCAAAGTGCTTTATAATTACAATCTAAAATTACTTCAATCTTCCTAATCATAACGATAGATCTAATGATCTTGTTTGACGTCTCTCGTTACTTTCCCTCTATTCTACGTAAATTTATCCGTGACATAAATCTAAGTTCCTAGGAGGATCCGATATCCCAAAGTCGAGCTATTTTTTGCCAGACAGGCATACCGATGTGCAGTCGCGAAATGCTTTTATCTTCTCGGAGATGGCGCACTAGGTGCTCTTCCCCAATCGCTAGGGCGTCTCCCCGAATGGGTTCGAGGACCAGCATCCACCGACCATTGCCCGATTTCTCCTTTTTGCGATCCAATCCACTGTCTTTCTCTTTCAGCCACCGAGAGATCTTTGCGGATTCGCCGAAGGACTCGCCGTGTCCAACGAGTCCACTGGATAGAGCGACACGTTCCATGTTTCATCGGGGGGGAGTGCACCTCTCTCTCTCTCTCTCTCTCTCTTTCTCCATCCCCTAACACATCTTTCTGCGGATACACACACGAAATTTTCACCTTTCTTCATCTCTTTTGTAGCGCTTGGCGCGGTTGCAATTTACATTCTCTGATGTTTGAGACAGGTACACGCGTCTTGATGGTAGAGGAGACGGTAGGTCTGTTCACATGCTCGCACTCGTTTGTGTTTGTATGTGTGAGCGCGTATTATGAATGTGTATGCGTGTGCAACTCTGACCATATTTGTGTTCGTGCCTTATCCGGTCGAGCAAAGACGTTGAGATCCGACAAGCGATCGTTGATATAATTGGACCGGTCGGACTATACACTCTGGTCAGTTTTCTCTGGGATTACATTCTTGAAACTTCTTTGTCTCAACTCATCACAACAACTTTACTCGTGTGCAGCTCAACAACGAATTAGTTACACTCCACGGAATTCCGACGATTTTGATATGTTTTGAAAGATTATTAATTAATGATAAGGAAAAAAGGCGCTTAAGCGTTAACCAAAAATAACGAAATTAGTCCGAGTCTTAGGCTCTTTCGAATTTAATTGCTGTCCATTTGCTCAAATGTAAAGCAAAAAAACATGATATAAACTTAATGTAAATATTCATTCTTCTATGATAATAAATAATTACATAATTATTTAATTAGCTATTTATTTATATAACTATATTTTTATTACTTCTATTGTATGTTGATCGTATTGCACAGATACAAAGAACCGCAGACATTTGCGTTTTTTATATTTTATATGCACATTGAATATGAGCTATTAAACGATATCTTAAAAACGAGGAGAGATATTTGTCTTTATAAAGCAAATTAAAATATGCATATAATTATTTATATTTCAATTTACATTTTACACCGAATTATTGAATTTTATCTCTATTGAATTTTGTCTTTTCTTAAAATTATGCGACTGATGAGAATTATATTTCAAAGTAGATTGTGTGTAGCTTTACACTTATAATAGATAAGCTGCATTTAAGTTGAAATATGTAGAATATGCTGTAAATACGCTATAACAAAATTAATGATAAGAATGTCTTAATAAGGAAGTAAATTTATTAAACTATTGTGTTCTCTTACGTTTCAAAATGTCAAAACTAAGGTTTTTTGAATTTGATTTCAGAAGAAGACAATCTTCATATTTTCATCCAATATTTTATATGGTAAGTACTTGGTGTTGTGTTGATTTTAAGTAGTTCATAAATGCAAAAGTACTAAAGTTACGTTATTTAATTAACATACACATTTGTATATATTAAACAAATTTATGTGAACGTGAATGCTTCTACGAGAGGTAAGTTCTCTTTTAATAATTTAAATTTAATAATTTCAATAAGCTGGTACTTTTACGCATGGCACTTTTGTTTTATTTTTTGAAATTGTGATAATTAAGTAAGGAAAAGAATATTAGAATCAAAATTATCATCAAGATCATCAAGATAAAATTGTTTATTGAAACAATAACCGATTATGTCTTTGATAACAGCTACCAAGACACAATTAAAAACGAATTTATTGATGTGATTATATAAATGATCTTTGACTACCAATTTAAAAATAAAGTTCTCGAAATTCTTAATAATAAATTACATTTTATATCATATTCTTCCTTAATTAATTAAAATTACATAGAAAAAATAATGACTACAGCGATACAAAAATTGCGAAACGAATAAATGTGTTTTCTACTAGACAAAAGTATATAGAGTATGCCAACGAAATAGAATGTGCGAAATGAGCTGTCCATGGTAAGATACGTTGCAATCCAAGCTGTAAGTTTTATCCGCCCCCACCAATCCCTTGCACCTTATTACCTTTGCGTGCGATATTCTCGGTACACCTTCTATCATGATATTCGCCCCCTGATATAAGCCGCTCCCTCTCGCGAAAGCCGCGTCACCTCTCGCCCCAACGCGGCGCCACTATTCTCACGTAGAAATGCCACGATATCCCAACCGGGACGAGTTCAGTGGTTTCCAAAAGTCGACGATTCGACGGCAGCTGAATCGCGCCAATTTCTGCAACTTGGCGAGAGCAGCGTCGAGAGACAGAAAGAGGGAGAGAGAGAAAGAGAGAGACACGGAGAAAGAGAAAAAAAGGGCAGAAAAATGTGAATCAAATGTCTTCCTACTTTTGACAGATAGCTGACAAGTTACGTATATTTTATAGATTGAAAAAGATAGTTGTATTTAAAATGTGCTTTATGAAATTTAAACTATATAATGACAGCTATGTAAACACATTGCTCTGCATGAGAAATCATAAAGCACAAATGATGAAATATAATTATTTCTCTTGTGAAGCGAGCTATTTTCGGATGTCTCGATGATTCATAATTCAATATTCAATGCAATAAAACATTGTTAATTTTGTATCCTTAATTGATTGTAACATTTTAGTTTGATTTATTAAATTATAATATTACTGACTAAATCCAACCAATTGATATCAAATATAAAAGAGAAAAATAGAAAGTTAGCGAAAGCAATAAATAATTGATGGTAAATACGAGAAAAAGGTTACACACACAAGCTTCTAAATGAAAAATTCTTATAATTACAATAATAATTATAATGAATATATATAAGAAAAAAAATGAATAGAGTTTTACTCCGCTTTGTATTATGTGGCATAAAATTACTTTATCGTCGGATATGTAAAGTTTATAGTGAGTCTAATGAATGGAAATAAAAATATGATATACATATTTATGAAGAACCGTGTGCTGCTTTTGAAGAATTATAATCACCACATCAGAGATTATCAATTAAGAAGGAATGAGAAGAATGCTTTGCTAAAATAAAAAATACAAAGAGGAGTAATTTCCGATTGCAAATAAAAGGAGAAATATCCTCGAAGTGTGCTCTCAGAGATTTAACAGTCACAAATCTAGTCTCTGCATCTTTAAAATCCTAAAACTAATACAGGATAGGAAAGGAAGTGAATAACGTGTACGAAGCAAAAAATCGAAAACAGTGCTGCCTTGTAGGATCTAAAGGAAAAAAAATAATAATTTCGACGGAATAGAGGACGAAGATAGCGCAAGAACGAGATGAAGAGAGAGAAAGAGAGAGAGAGAGAGAGAGAGACTGCACTCGAACGAGAGAGAGAGAGAGAGTAAGCGAGGGAAGGACAGAAAATACCGTGTGAGACGTTGGAACGTTGCAAAGTATAAGGCAACGTGGCGAGCACGACTGCACTGGCGATGAGGCGAACGGACCGTCGGACGGACGGAGCACGCCGGGTATACGAGCGAGCGAGCGAGCGAGAGATGCGTCGAAGCCCAAGTGTGGGAAGAGAGCTCGTAGTATCGGCGAAAAGGAAGATCGGAGCGAGAGGAGAACTGATGGAGAAAGAGACCCATTCATCTTGGCGCGCCTAGCGTGGCCACGATTGGTCCGCGACGAGCGCGGCCGCGCCGCGATTGGACGGCGCTCTGTTTACCAGCTGGTACCCCGGCGCGCTCGAGACTCGCGCGAAGAGAGGGGGGAACGGAACGGGAGAGACAAGCGGCGCCATTATTGTAAGGGGTTACATTTAGCTCGCCGTGGGTTGTAGTACGCGGCGTTCGGGATAGGGGGCTATAGTACCTTCATGCATGGCCCATAAAGGATTCGTCGACTATCCGAGAAGTACGCAAGAAACGGCTTCTAACACCTGACAGGGGCCACGCTCTTCTCTTCTCTCTCCTCGTGCCGTCGCCGGGTTCTCATCGTCGCCCAATTTCCGAGTTGGGACTACGAGTTGGGTCGTCCGGGGTGGGTCCGATCGCGAGGAAGGACCCGCTGCTTTATCGCCGATTGTTATTCCGATAAAACCGGGGGTGGATTCGTAATCGGGAGGGCGCGCGATTACGATAGCGAAGGTAGGCGAGGGTCGAAATTTTCGTACGCGAGGATCCGCGAACGTCTCGCGGCTCTTCCGACCCCGAGAGAGAGATCGAGAGGAGGGACATGTCATTTGCCATCGCGGACGGTCGGTGATTCGTGGTCCAGTCGTATCCCAGTGACCGCGTGCGACCCGTTGCCGCCGCGTTCGGTATTGTTGTTGTGATAATGTGCCGAGTTGCATAAGTGGTACCGGAAAAAGTGGACGTCGCCGGATAGGCAAGGAGAATTGTGGACGGGTCGCGGGGAGAGCGACCGAAGCGAGGCGTCTCGTTGGAGCGGGCGGCGAAGAAGAGGAAGAATAAAGTGCATCTCGTTTCCTCGATCGAAAAGGAACCTAACGAAAGGAGCGCAGGGTGTCGCGATCCGCGCGGGATCCCGGGGTACGCGATGAGGCAGCAGCAGCCGATGGACGCGTCGTCGTCGCGGTGTCGGTGTTGAGACACTCGTCCCGGCGCGGGCGTGTCACCGGCATCGGGTCCGCATCGGCACCGACAGCGGCGATATGAGTACGAAATTCATAATTGATAGTATGCTACCTGCCAAGTACCAACAGTTTCATCCGCAACAGTTGTTCTCAAGCGCGAATCCCGGTACCATCCAGTGCACGACGAGTCCGGCCACCGCCAGTCTAGAATCGAGCCTATCCGCGGCTGCAGTAGCGGCCGCGGCTGTCAATTACGCGCAACAGCACAACTCGCCGAGCCCGACGGGTTCGAGTCCCCAGCACTCGGGTAGCTCCGCTTCCACGTCACCGGCGGCGCGCACCACCTCCGGCATGTATCCCTACGTATCCGCCGCCGCGGCGCATCATCATCATCAGCAGCAGCAAGCGGTCGCGGCCGCCGCGTTCGGCGCCACGTCCAGCATGGTGCCCGGCTTCGGTTCCACGGCGGCGTCCAGCGCTGCCCTGGCAGCCGCCGCCGCCGTCGACGCCGCCACCGCCGGCGACAAGTCCTGCCGTTACACGGCCAGCCTAACCGGCAACGTGGCACCCGCCTCGGCCGATCCCATGGTCAACTATACCCTGGGCCACCATCATCAGAACGGCGCTACGCCCGGTAGCCTCGTCTCCTCCGCGTCCGCTTCCTCGGCCGTGTCCGCCGCCTCGGCCTCCATGGCAGCGGCCGCGCAGTTTTATCATCAGGCGGCCGCCGCATCGGCCGTCGTCGATCCCTTGACGTCCTGCCAACAACCCACCACCGGCCAACCCGGGATCTCGGACATACCCCGGTATCCGTGGATGTCCATCACCGGTGAGTCTCCTCTTCTCGTTACCAATGCGACAAGTCGGCCGTAGCTTCACCGTATGCGCGAATCGACTTTTGCAAAAGTAGACTTATGGCGCCGTGAAATGGACCCATGGCGGTTTTCTTTCAGCTAATTTGCCGTTCAATTGGTTAATTCTTTGATTAATATCGTCAAATTACTGAATAAAATTGTAATACGCCACTTGCAAATTACTAAAAAGAATATATATGCAATGTATTGTATTTATATTTATGTCGGATTTTAAATGTTTTTTTTTATTTCGATTATGTTATTAATTATTAAAATATGACGAAAATTAATTATAGGTATATAAGTCTGTTTCTGCACTTTTATAATATTTCGATTGAATGCTGCGATACTTTTTTTTTCTTTATTGCATGATTGAGAAAATTGCATCGATGATCGCAATTTGCATGAAATTTTCAGCATAAGATGATAACAAAAAATATTAAACAACTCTCTATAGCGATTAATCTAAAGAATGTATAATGTAGCATATAAAAAAATATGAGAGCGGTTCAAAATGCTATCACAAATCATCCATAAACTATCATTTATCGCTGTACAATAACATTAATTCACACGTAATTTATTTAAAGTAAATTCTCTTCTAGTTACATAATGTTATTTTTATACAAAATACAAGATGAAAAATTACGTATAAATAACTCCCGATAGCTTCTCTATTTTCATTGTTATTTTTCATAATTTAGATTAATTTATTAATCGCTTCTTTAAATTACAACTTGCGGAAAAATATAAATGTATATCAGACATTGTGTTTATATGAAATTTAAATATGGAAGAAAAGCGGTAATTTTCTTTATATATAATTTACAATCTTAATTAATTTCTACAAGTTGCAATTTTCATTATAATTATGTCGAGAGATGTTTAATTAAATGATTATGTTAATTGTGTAGACGTTAGTTTATTCGTAAAATCGTTGCACATGCATAAGTATACAAATATTGTTTTTCCGAGACAAATTATATGTTAATAATTATATTTCTCTTTCTTGCACGCATCTTTACGATAACGCTAGATGAGATCAGCTGTTTCATAATTTGACATGTATCAGAGAAAAAATCTTACTTTTATTATATGCATGCATATATACATACAAGAGTACTCTCATTTTATGACAGATTTTTCTGCTGATTTTCTTTCCTAATAAAAATATTGATGTATTTATAATTTTAGAGTAATTAATGATATTTTACACACATTTATAATGCTATTTAAACTAACTTGTATATTAATTTTTAAAAATACAACACACATATGCACGAAGATGATAAAGATATTCACACTATTTTAATTTCCCTGATTTTTTGGAATCGCATAATATTAATTTTGCTGCGTCATTATAATTGTAATTATTATATAAGATAAGCGTCAATAAGATAATTATCTTATATATTAATAACATTGTCGACGGAAACATTTTCGCAAAATGGAACGTAACGGACAATTTTCGAAGAATACCTATAACTATTGAAGAATAAACTTTACATTATATAAATTTGAGTCCTCCAGACGCTGTTGTTGCCGCACGAAACTTGGAGTTATTCCGATGTCCGTATAATACATTGTACGTGCGCGCCTTGTCGGAACAGCGTCTTTGTTTGCCAAGAGGTGTCGAGCTAGGACAAAGCGCCGACGGTATTTATCACGTATATTTGCGGCGAGCGCAACGCCAGCCGGTCCTGTTGTCTCATTCTTGTCGCTGACGTGCGCGAAAATTGTTTAGTTTGTATTTTTCTCGCGTTTTGTGATATTGTTGCGACGAAATAACTCCGAGAGGCTCGCGCGAAAAGCGGGCCTCGTCGGAAGGGAAATCAGCTGACTCGCCGTGACATTTCACGCACGAATAGCGCGCGCGTTTTTGCGAAGTCGCAATTTGATTTTCGATTTATCGTTCCAGGTATATATCTCCGGTAAAAACTCCAATTACCGTATTTGATTCGCCTGCTTGAATCCACGCGACGAATTAACTTTTTAACCGGCTTCAAGTTATTTAAACGTTATTGCCGCTTAAATCCCAAATTTTTCGGGGAACGATCTTCCGTTCGCGCACTCGCGTGTGTTGCGAACGCGCATAATAATAATATAATGCAAGGCGTACCCTCGCGAAGTAAGGGAATCGCGGAATATATTGCGATTAAGTTGTAATCTTTGAATATGCAAATTATTTTCCGAAGTCCATTTCGCTATCAACACGTTATAATAATACTTGGCGTTAACGTGTTAACTTTCCGTTTTGCCAACTCGTGAGGTCTCGCGTTATGCCCGATTTATGCGAATCATAATTGTGTAATTCCTAATGCGCGTCGCGATGGAGCTGATTAGCAATAGAATTTCATAGATTTCCATATACTTTTTCCGTTTAAAATGTACAATATGTCGTTATAAGAAATAAATACGTACGAATGAAATTAACCTATGATAATTATTGCATTTACATTATCTAGAAAGTTAAATCGCTTTCGCGTAAATTACTCGGCGAACTATCTCCCAAATCAATTTTCTCAATCATAATTTTCAGAATGATCTACTTTGCGATTATTCCTATCACTTTAATCAGTCTTGTAAAATGCACAATTAACGTCTAATATTTTCGCGTTTCGCCTCGTATTTAAATTTCTTCTTACATTATTTAAAGCGTCATCTTTTATTTTAGTACCGCTTTCGCATGTTTTAAACTGACAACAAAACACAGCTGATATTATTTTTACACTAGTGCGTAAGCATTAATGCCTTTATAATTTTATTTATTTCTATTTTCACATTTGATTTACTTTTAACTGCTCTAAAGAGTTTGCGGTTTTTGGAGCACTTTTATTGTCATATGTCTATTCATGCGTCAATAGGTTTCTTATCTATTTTATGTGTGTATAAGAATAACTTTACGGTTTGGGGAGTCGAGGTGAATGATTCAGTCGACAGTGTAGCGTGACGATTTTAGTTTGCGGGACTATAGTCGAATCAAAATCATGTTGGCAGTCTATAAGTATACATTTTTATAGCGCATAATTAATATTATTTTAGATAATTTAATTTCAATTTTAGTTTAACTGTGAATAATTGATGTATATATGAGATCGTGTATATGTGAGAACATTGCAGTTTCTGTTTTTCTAGTATAAAACTGTATTATAACAAAGTTTTGTCAATAAATAAATTATCGGATTGATATACATATATAATCCAGACATCGATGTTATTTTGAATCTAATTAATCTCAATATATGTACATCAATATCTTTAACTTAGATATTTTTAAAATCATACTTATTTTTCACTGTGAGAAGTCAAGGATTATCTCAAATTTCTTAATGTCTAGCAAATTACTAATGTCAATCTAATTTTACCTATTCATTGAATCCAATCGTTTGCCTTGTCTTATCGTTTATTTATTTGATGTTTTCGATTGACTAAATCAGATTTATATAGTTTCTGTCGATTTCCTAAATTGTATCTTAATGTTATGTATTTATGTAATGTTTAATATTAATGTATGTGTTTATTATGCGTTGGAATCATAATGTGTCTTGCGACTTAGAGTATGCTTAAGAAATCTTGCCTATCGCAAGGCTTTATCTCAAGTGCATGTGGAAAGTTTTATCGCTTGAAACTACGCATGAGTAGCTAATTTTTGAAAATACTACCATCTTATTCAACATCATATGCAAAGAGGGGCAGAAGACGCTTTTTGAATCGTTTAAATAATTTTCTTCGAATGTTTTGATCAATCTTTTTATTTTCCAGATTGGATGAGTCCATTTGACAGAGTCGTGTGCGGTGAGTATTGCTGCTAATTTTGAAATGTTTTTACATTATTATTATTATACATACGATATTATCATTATTTGCGCACATATTCGTAACATATATATATATATATATTCCATATTTCTGCGAATATGCAAAATGCTATCTGAAACTGAAACATTTCTTCGCAAATTTAAAAGTTTTAATTGTGAGAGATGATATTAATTATTCGGAAAGTCATAAAAATAATAGGTTTTTAAATTGCAATCTTATTAATCCTACTTATATTAATTATGAAGCATAGAAGAGAGAAAGATATACGTATTTCGAGAAATATTACGTATATAAAAGTATTTTAAGCCTATGAATTATTTTAGTATAACAATAACTTTCATAGGTGTTATGTGTAGAGTGTTATATAATATGAAAATTTAATATGATATAAAAATCTTTCTCTATTTTCACTTTTGTTCCAAGGACCTAATGAGTTCTCGCAAAAATAAAAGTGTTTAATATAAGATCTATATGTCTCAGACAAGGACTAGCCTTCAAGAGGGAAATGGTTCCTTCCATATACAAAGTTATGACCTCACGTGCTAGTCATATTTTTCTTCCTTTCTTCAATTCTTTCTTAAGTTTAATCTATAGACAAAATATACTGGAAACATTACGACCATTTTTTGAACTGAATGAGACTAGTAATCTATCCTTTTCTTATGTTTTCTTCCAACAACATTGACCTTACACGGATATCACCTTTTCACGTGTAACATTAAGTTACAAGTAACACTTTCAAAGCAATTTGTTTCTATGATCGAGCTGTCGGTAAGGTAATCAGATTTACCAGATGGCTCATTGTTAGTTATAAAAGTACGACAAATATGTTTTTCAACTTTTTTTTAAATCTAATGTGTAGACAAAATATATTCAGAACATTACGGCCATTTGTTGGACTAAAAAAGAATACTGTATACTGTGTTTCAACAATACTTTATACGTATTGTTGAATATATATACCTATAGTCGTTACCTGAACAGTAGCTCGATCAGGAACAAATTGCTTTGAAAGCGATTTTCGTAACTTTCAATTTATATATGTGAAAATACAATGTCCATATAAGAGAAGAAACCTTATGTATTCAACAATACGTATAAAGTATTGTTGAAACACAATTTAAGAAAAGGATAGATTATATATGTATATATATTACCACAAGAGAAGGGAACTCTTATATGGACATTGTATTTTTACATATAAAGTTGAGAGTTACAAGAAACGCTTTCAAAGCAATTTGTTCCTATATGATCGACCAGGTAATGACTTGATCATAAATCTGCGACTAACAAAAATGATGTAATTTCGAGTGCTGTGCTCCAAGGTCATTGTTCGGATCGTTTACGTGGATCGTGCTACCGAGCACGCGCTAAGTCCTTACCCTATTCATTTATGTTAGTTGCGCATGCAAGAAGGACATGTATATGGGCAACTACACCTGTCGTCACCGTGATAATGTTAGTCGCGAATAATCTCCGTGACTATCTTTTATACGGCCACTTACGAGTCCACAATAGCGCAGTAAATACCGATTAGATAAAATTAAAACTTCAGTCGTTGGCTTTTATCGTGATGGTTTGTTTACATCAGACGTATCATAATTTCAAATAGGCATTGGCGATCACTATATGAAGTTACCGACTGCAGAGGGAATGCTTAGCCCGGTAGGAAATTACATTCCGATATATTTAAACGGGATATATAATATCTGTCTCCGTATATATTCAATTGGCCGAAGAGAATACGCATTCGCCATTATACCATAACTTATTAATCTTTCGTGTGAATCTGCACTTGTATATTTCAAGTTATATCACATTATGTAAATGTGTGAGATTAATTTATCATTTTACATTAGCATTAATGAATAAATCATTTATATATTTTGGATTAATTATGTGTATTATATTCAATATATTAAATATGTTATATTAAATATAAAATTAATCAATTCAACAGTAAATGACATCAAAATAACCTTAAAATGATAAAATAATAATCCGTAATAATGGTAAAAATCAAAATGGAAAATATTAAACATTATGAATTCAAATTACTTTAATAAATATATTATTTTAATTAGTCGCAGTATTAATTAATTCGAAAAATATGTTAAATATATCGTGCCATTTTTTGAAATTTAATCTTTGTATATATGAATATTTTTTCATATAGAAATTCATTTTCCTTTCGATTTTAGTTTAATTTTTAGATCCCATTTTTAATTAAATTGATTGGAACACATATGGTTAAACTTATTATAATGTTTAATGTTTTGTCATATTAACTGATGCCATATTTTGACGCGGAAAATATAAATATTTTATTATTGTATAGTATACAATAGAACATTTTTCGTTTCATTTTCGCATCTATTGTATACATGAATACAAAGTGCTTTTAAATTCTCCTTCTTAACTATATTCTTCATTGTCTCATGTGATTAATATGTGAATGCTATACTCTGAAATTCCGAATCGGCAAATGATTCAAACTTGTTTTTCAAGATCGCATCTTATTAAGATTTGTTGCATCTAGAAATATAGGGATGTAGTACAGTAATTTATGGTGCAATCGAGAGATGAGTCGCTGATATTTCTCTGAAAAAGGAGAACCGAAAAACATAGAATAAATTTTTTATTCATTACCTAGTTTTCAAGAAATATTTTGTATATTGATTGTTTATTGATTACTGAAATGTTAAAGTTTCTCTTTGTCTTCAAAATTTATTCGCATAACACTACATGCTTATTTTAGGTATTTATATTCATTAATTGTGACATAGTATATTTATAATACTAGAATCTGTAACAATAATGTGTTAATTGCATCTAATTATTACAATAAATTCTATTTTAATAAGCGTACAAATATATGTTAAATAGATGTATATAATTTTTATATTCAAAATTATTTTTTCATCAATTAAAAATCAATAAAATATTAATTTTATTTTTTTTTATTTGTATTTTCAAACAAGAAATCAAAATTCTTGTTGGTTTTTTACATTTTATCATTAGATTATTAATTATTATATGATTAAATATTAAATATTATTATGTATATATGTGCAAATTTTTTTAACGATGTATAGAGATTGCGAACGCAGTATATGTTTTAGAGAATGCGTACCGGTGTGATCAAGACAATTTCATCACTTTATTCATACCGATAATCGGCAAGATAAAACGGCTTTATGTTTGTATCAACGTTTCGAAATTCAACAGATTCTTCCCGACCGTTTCGTTTTCTCCTAGTTTAAGAACAAAGGCAGTCTAAATATTTGCGCGACTGAAATGAATATTTCGGCGATTAACAAAATTTCTAAACTCCGACCAAGCGAAATTGCTGGCGCGGACGAATTTCTAATCTGTCTCTCGCGAGCATGGAAACATATTCTGACATTGAGTTTCGCAGGCACGTGAATGTCTAACTGGATTACGGTGTGTACACGGGGACTAGCAGGAGATAATGTATAATTTATAATCAGACCGATCCCGCGCGCCGACAACGGCGGGTAGAGTCCACTGCCCCAAAAGCCGCCAACCCCTCATTAGCATTCGATGATGGCTGCCGCGTCCTGCAGCGTCGGTATTATCCCATTTCATCGTTCCTGCCTCCCCTACCTGGACCCTATCTTCGTATTCTCCCGCCTCCGATCTCGTCGGCTCTCCTCGTTTCTCTCTCTCTCGCACGCTATCCTCCCTCGCCTGGATCGCATCAGCATCCAGCAGGTATCCGACATTGGCTAGGAGAGAAAGAATAGTAGTTCCCATCGAAATTTTATCCGGAAAATTTCATCCGGAATTCTGCTTTATGCCATCGGCTCACGGCATCTCTTCCCATCTTTTTTGTTTTCCCATCGCCTTCTCGGTTAGCCATTAATATACGCTCCCCGATGTCGGCACAAAACACATCGACGCGTGTAACAAACACGCGGTGCGCGCGAGAAATCGGAGGGTTGATCGTGAAGCGGCTCGTAAAAGGAACTTTCGGGGAACGCGAAATCGATCGAGAGAAATACGTGCCGCGTCGAGAGAGAGAGAGAGGAGGGGTGGAGGGCGACGATCGAAATTCTTTTTATCAGTGCAGCGAGCGCGTGACGTTTCCTCCGAGGTAAGCCACGCTCCCGTAGACAGGTCGGAATCGTGTTGTCACAGAGATTATTGAAACTGCAGTTTTATGGGCCTTAAAAGCAGTTTAATTGCCGTTATATAAGTGTTTATACGCCGCCACAGGTTCGGCCCGCGCCCACCACCCCGAACGTTTATTTTATGGTCATACGGCGGCGCGTATTCCGTTATGTCGCGTGCCGAAGCCATCGCACCAGTCAAATCCTCAGGCCCGACCGGTCGATTCCAAATATCAGTGTGTATAACGTTTACGCGACGGCCACCCGGTATCTTACCGCGTAAGGTAAAGGACACTTGGAATCGGGACTCCCGAGGACCTGATTAATGTAATAATAATCTGAGGAATGTGTAAGGCTCGCACTTTCGCGTTTTTTTATCGAAAAGAAAATTATAATTATTTATTAATGCAAAGTTAATCGGAGAATTATTACGCAATAGGAAGAAGATATTTATGAGAGAGAAGATTATCTGTACGTATCTTTCTGAAATACTTTTCATACTTTTTTTTCAATGTACGGAGTATTTCGGAACATGTAGTGTATAATTTTATGCGTTTACATCACTATAATTATTTTTTGTACCTTTGTCATTATACCTTTACATCATTATAATTATTTTTGGCACTTTCAAAGCGTATAGGGGAGTTATTTTTGGTCAATGCGTTTTTTCGAAGGACTCTGAAAAAATTCCTATGCCTATTCCTTTCTAAATAAAGCTAGTCCAATAAATTTATAAAATATTTGTTTTAATATATACCTTGCTTTTTTTAAGAAACTGATATGACAGTTGTCTAATAAACTTCTTTCTTCTTGGAAATCTTTTTTTCCGGATTAACTCTTTCT